AAGGCTTGCCGAAGCATCCCAACAGTCTCGGCTGCAGTTTTCCCTAACAGAAAGCAAAATTTCATGCACATTCTTTGTTCCTTCTGGTCGGTCATCTTACTAATCGCCAAAGGGTTGAAACAGGAACGCACACAACAGAGCACCACAGACAAACCACTTAACTCAGACTGACGCCAGCTCACTAACAGTCACGGGAGACCCCCAGCTAACACCACCTAGCAGCACAACTCGTAACTACAAAGCATGCGCGCGCAACAGGTCGGTTCCAGTTATTTTTGGGTCCCCCCTCGTATACTGTTAAATTAAGTAAATTAGTGGAATGTTGAGTTCTGAATAATTTGGAAGGCGCATTTGCCATGCAAAAGCCTACTCAGTCCTGATTTAGACCACAATGAACTGTGAACTGAATCTCCCAGTGGATAAATCCACAAAAGCAGGCTATACCTAGCATTCACCCTCCAGTTTTGTCACATTTAAACTAAAATAAGTAAACAGTGTTGTTCTGTATGTGAAAGGTATCAGAGAACCTTGAGCATCACTAACTTGAGTTAGAGTTTATGGTGCATAGCACAGAAGTCGATACACCTTTGCTGCAGCAAGTGGCAAATTTCACTTCCACTCACATCTGAGATTTTGCAGTTCTGTCTCTGAGCTCTGAATTCCATTCTGCATAATTAATAAATAATAAAATTATATATAATCATTAAATTCGCCTTCTGACCATTGCTCTATGAAGACTCTTATGAGCATGGAAAACATAGAATGCTCTATTTATTTATGTTTATAGCGTTCATAATGATTCTATGAGAGCTTACATCAACGAAGGGTAGTATTTTGTGGGATGTGACACTGTGTACTCCATTAGAAGTTCACCAACAGTTTGGAAGAACACACTGCTTCAGTTTTCAGGGTTGAAGACTAAAATAGCATCAGTAGCTATTATGAAATGCACTTTCTCATCTGTGCTTCTTCTATACAAAATGTTGAAGAACATGGCTTTGCTTGCAAACTGCTGGACATATGGAAAACATAGCTAGCTCTACTGTTGTGGGTGTATATCATGTTTACAGAGCTGTTGCCTGGCAACACATTGATCAAATATGTCACAATATTCTCACTTTGCTCCGATGAAAGGGACTGGAAATTATTTGATTGTACCTCGTAAGAGAAGTTAAATTTTGAATGTTACATAGTTGTAAATTTTAGATGCTGAATGATTGATACGGATGCCTACGTTTAGTTCCTAAGATCCTAATTGTTCTTTTTTCCTTCCCATCACAGAAATTTTATTACACTAAAGTAAATTTAAAAATGGTGTTGATAACTCAGGGTATTTAGGACCCAAAGTAAGTTACACTAATATGAGTTTGTGAACTAAATAAAAAGTTAAGATACAGCCATTTTCACAAAACCCTATGCTTTCTTTACAAAAAATAACTTAGGAAACTCTGATGCTTGAATGACCGCCACGTCACTGTGGCCTGAGTTGCCACGTTGCTGCTGGGTAGGGAGGGATTCTCCATTGCGCAACATGTCACAATATATTTGAGCAAATTTGAATCATGCTGTTGCATCTACACTTGTGGAGTGGAATCCTTGTGTGTATCAGGTTTTCTTGGCACTGATGGTGTTCAGACTGTAATTTATACAAGAATCTGTGGTAAATACAAAGAGAAAAGAAGGTAGAAATATTGATTATTAATATATATGATAATCCAAACAGGTGTCTCCAGATGAAGGACGTGCATTGGCATCACAGTTCGGCTGCCCATTCTACGAGACATCAGCAGCACTGAGACACTATGTGGATGATGCCTTTCACACTCTTGTACGTGAGATCCGTCTAAAGGAACGTGAACGTCACCACACCAACAACAAACTTCACAAACACAGTCGATGGCGCAGACTGCGTTCCATATTCACAATTGTCTTTAAACGCCGGCGTAATTACTCACCCTGAATGTCCATAATATATATATGTTGGGGCCAGAAAACAACCAGGTTTGTAGGATTTTACAAATTTCTACATAAGTCGTGATGAAACAGTATTTAGTTCATCTGTATTGAGATTGTTTTCTGTGTGATTTGTCTCCAGTTTACTTGATACAGGATAGCTGTTTCATCAGTTTATGAAGTGCAGAACAGAGATGCTGCATCTTTCTGTCTTAACACCCCTATATAGCTTCTACAGGATTTTTTTGTCCATCAAACCATTTCAGTTGCACATAAAATAAGATTAATAAATTCAGATCTCATTAATTTGATATTAAAAATTAAGTAAACATGATAAATTCATACTTTACAATGAAGATGACATATGTCTTCCTCTTTGTAAAATAACGTGTCAGATCCCCATTCTGAAATTTTGGAGCATGGCACACAAAGTGTTCTCAGATACAGAACAGATGCCTTCCTGTATACTTCTTCAGAATTGCATTTGAGTAAGGATTAGTAGTCTTTGAAATATGCCCCCTACAGAATAATCACATGGGCTTAAATCAGGCGAGAATGTGGCCACATAAGCCCTCTATCATGAATGAATGAACAGATGGACAAACCTGTTCTAGAGTGCTCTTATATCAAATGTTTCATTAACAAATCCAGTACAGCACTTGCTGTGTGATACCTTACACCATCTGTCTGGAACCAGCTTATCTCTATATCAATACTGTACCCCACAAGGGAAAGGAGAAACTCATTCTGGTCACCAATTTTTCCCTTCCAGAGTCAGTACTTTCAATATACCAATATTAGATTGAGCACAATAAACAGTGACTCACTGAGAATGCAAGGTGTTGACAACAATGATGCCTGAATTTTGCAAAGCCCAGAACTGATCAGAGGTAGCCATTTCTGTATTCTGATTTAAACCCTTGTGACTGTTTTGTAAGGGGTTATCTCTGGCACAAAGTGTTCAAACTACCAATCCTTGTACAGTTAGCAATTTGAAAAAAAGCTACAGAAAAGAAAATCTTCCACACTCTGAGGAAATTTTGCAGATCATTGCAGAATTTCAGAGTTCAGATTCAGTATGTTACATCATAGATAGGAAGATGCAGTGAACATTCTATTTTGAAAGCATGAATTTATTTTTTTTTTACTCTTTTAATATAAAATTCATGAGAATCATATTTATTATTCTCATTTTATTCATATTGGAAGTGGTTGAATGAATAAAGAGGAGCCCTGTGTTTTAACTTTAACTTTAACTGATGTATGACTGAATATGTAAAGGCATAAGATAGTTTACTCTATCTGAAGGAGCATTCCTGGTCTGTGGAGGCCTATACCACTTCCTGGCAACAAGTTGCTTGGAGACAGGCTCTCTCTAATTGTGAAGCTTTTATTTATACTAAATAGGTTGTATGTAAAATGTTACAGGAGGGTTCCAAATCAAACATGCTGATCCATGGATAAATTATATGGGAATGCATTGCATTTGCAGATATTTTACCAAACATATTATGAAGCTGTCTGTTGTACATATTTGTTTGAATACCCCATGTGATCAGTGCTAAGAGTTCAGTATCCTCATGTAGCATAGTAAATAATATTTGTAAAAATAATTTAATATATATATTTTTTTTCAATTTTCATGTTTTAAGTGGTGCTCTTTTGTAGGTCAGAATTTTGTACATTGGTCACAAGTGAAAGGTGTAATACATTAGTAATGTAATTTAACAGGAATATTTCATATGCAATTTACATCACATTGAAAGTATTATTTACTGTATTTTATTTAATTATTGTGGTGCCAAAATATCAATATATATGTAAACATTTTATAGACAAGCAAAAATGAAAAGGAAGTATGACTGTTTACATCTATATGTTCTATGCACTTAAATTATTATGTCAATAATGAGTGATAGAAGTTCACAAGCAGATCTTACACAGTGTCTTTCATGTGTGTACAAGCTTTATTGAACATCAGATAGCTGTTTAATTTGCAGAAACATATCTTTCAACTGATTCTTTTCTTCTTCAGAAGCAAATGTGTAATCTATACTAGACAGGGCCATCTGCCACAGTTGTTCTCTTGACAAGCCATGGCTGTCTGCAGTCAGCATATATTCCTCAGAGAGGGAGGTAGAAAAAACTCCTTTGTCATCTGTCTGAAAAGGATAATTTTTTGTTTCAGGTGATGCACTTGTAGCTCTTTTATTACACACCACTGCTCAACTCTATAATCTGCAAATGCAACAGAAATTTGAGACATTATTGCCTAAAGAACATTAAGATGATGTCTGTTTCTTAATATTTCTAACACATTATGGAAGCAAATGGGTTATGCAGATACCTCCATATTGCAAAATTCTGCAAATTTAATTTTTTGATGTGTGTTATATTGTAATCTTTAGAGGCAGTGAGGCATGACAGTTAAATAATGGATCGATTCTATAAAGAATCTGCTCTATTCTTTAGTGAGTATAGTCACCACCAGAGTACATGCTGCAAATTGATTTCAGAATGTCCTTTCAATACTATCATTGCATTTCTGTAAATGACTTCGTGATTTAAAATTATACATCTAAAAAACAGGGCACCTCAGTCAGTATAGTGATGGGTTACAGGCTGGATGGCTGCAGTTTAATTACCTGCAGGGCCAAGAGATTATTTTTTACTCTAAATCATTGAGACTGGCTCTGGGACTCACCCAGCCCCCTATTAAATGGGTACTGGGGGCTTTTTCCACAGGGTTAAAGCAACTGGGGCATGAACCTGACTACTTGCCTCCATCTAGTGCAAGAATGGTGCAGCTCTAACTCCACTCCCTTATATATGAGTGCTTGTATATTCTTGACGTTCTTATTTAATTAAGCACAGGGATGATTTCACTTTTACCTTTTAACCCTTTGGATGTTTCTAATTTCAAGAACATGAAAACTCATACCAGGCCAAATCAGGCAATTTCAGGGGATGATCTGAACTGGTATTTATATATTTGGCAAAAAAATTGCTTTTATGAGATGTACTCTGTGGGGAGACACATTGTGATATATTTCTTGTGACATTGTTGATCTAAAATATGTTTTAAGTGTAGCATGGAGAAGGCCTTAATGGCTGCTACTGCAGAAACAGATTGTGAGATATATGGCAAGAAATTTAATAGTTTCGCTGAACATTTAGTAGGAAAGTTCATTTTCCACTTTATGACTTTAACACGTTGTGGACCGCGCACGCATTAATACGTTTTTCGCTTTTAAATGTGGTGGACCGGTCACGTATTAATGCGTTTTTAGAACACGATAAGTTGCAACACACTATACATCACTCTGGCGCCACCCAGCATGCATGTAGCTGCCTGCAGCTACGTGAAAAGCCTCTAGAATGTTTGCTGACTAATCAGTTATGTGACCTCGCTGTAACTGTATGCCCCTGCAAAGGAAAATAAATGCCTTTATTTCTTCAAGCTGTATGTAGCAAGCTGTCAGTGAGTAGTGCAATATGCGAACATATAATCCTGGGAAACTTACAAAGTATGGCCTACTTGTTTGTGTAGTTACTGAAAGCACTTCAGGCTGTATTGGAAATTTAGAATTTTATTCTGGTGAAGGAAAGAAATTGCCGGTCACGGTAGCCATGCGGTCTAAGGCATGTACTGTTTTTGCTCACTTGGAAACCGGGATCGTGGGTTCGAATCCCACTCAGGGCATGGATGTTTAGTTTGTGTGTGTGCGTTTTTCTGTGTTTGTGTACAGGTAGAGGCCTTGCGATGAGCTGATCACCCGCCCATGGAGTCCTACCAAATGTGTAAGATCAAGAAAAACCGAAGTGAACAGAGAAGTTCATAGAGGTAGGCCTAGGCCCACTGCGGCTGTAGTGCCAAGGAGGGAGGGAGGAGAAAGAGAGAGAGAGAGATAAGGAAAGAAATTACAATAAATTATTCTTTCCGTTTTGGAACCCTATCTTGATCAAAATTACCATGTCTATCAAGACAATTATTATAACAGTATGGCAACTGCAGAACACCTACTTTCGAGAAAAGTACGTGTTTGTGGAACAATTAGGGTGAACAGAGGCCTTCCTCCAGATCTGAAAGAGGAATGTAAATCCCTGAAACGTGGTGAAACCACATTCAGGAGGAAGGGGGATATTCTTCTTCAGTCCTGGAGGGATACTCGTGTTGTGAATATGATTTCCACAATTCACAATTCGAGTATGGTTGATGTTCAAAGGAGACATGGGCAGGTAAAGAAGTCTGTTTGTATTTCCAAGTATAATATGTTCATGAAGGGAGTTGATAGAGCCAATCAGTACTTGGCATATTATTCTCTTCCTTGGAAAACAGTAAAGTAGACAAAGAAAGTTGCCTTTGTGGCTTATAAATTGTGCCATTTTCAATTCATTTTTGGTTTTCAAAAATCTAAACCCTCATTCAAAATTTAAATACAAGGTATTTCTGCTGAATATGGCAAAAGCCTGGGCTACAGACCACACGGTGGCGGGAGAACCTGCAGCAGAAACAGTCTTAGTGCGACTGGGCCCGTCTACTCCCACCCCACGCAGGCCTCATTTTGACCCCCCTGGGCGACTTTTGGGTAATATGCGGAAACATACACTCGCAAAAATTATGAAGAGTGAACATTTCAAGGGGAAGCATCCTTCTAGGAAATGCCGTGTTTGCTCAGTTCACAAGAAAAGGAGTACGAATGTCTACATTTGCAAGTTTTGTGTAATGCCATTCACAGAGGGGAATGTTTCGAGAAACATCAAACCCTCAAGCACTTCTAGGAGCATTAGTAAGTGTTCTAAAAATTTTTAATTCATAAAATTAATTAGGAAATTTTACATTAATTTTTAAAGTGAACAGTGCACAAGTTACGGTAGTAGGTAAAAAAATGGCAGTCCCCAGGGTGATTTAAATATTTAAATTGCCGGTCTGCAAAGTGTTAAGATCACTGATTGTTGATGTGCTAGATAACAGCAGCTACTCCCATATGTGTACAGTCTCAGGTATTTGTGCTGTAATAGATTTCTTCACTTAATTTTGCTCCTAATAAATGATATTAGATTGGTAACAGAATATTGATACTAGAACAAAACATTCTACATTCCGTATTGTCTGTTGTGAATGTTCCTCCTTTGTGCATAATCTCATATGTTTATAGATGGGCATCCTCCATGTTAAATGATTTAGACCATAGGCTTTGCTGCCTTTTCTTTTATATGTCCAGATCTGTTCATGGGAGCCGGGATACCTGTCAGTATTGTGATGAACTACATACAGGCTGGATGACTGAGGTTCAATCCTCAGCAGGTGCAAGAGATTTTTCTCTTTCCTGCAGCATCCAGATCGGCTCTGGACCCACCCAACCTCCTATCCAGAGGGTACTGGAGGCTCTTTTCCCAGGAGTAAAGCAGCTGGGTCATAAAGCTGACCTTTCACCTCCATCTAGTGCTGAGGTCAAGAATGGTGGAGCTATACTTCCACTCCCCCACATGTTTTCATGGCATGGTGCTTAATTAAAGCATAAGGACTACTTCACCTTTACCAGATCTGTTCTTGGAAGTTTTAAGTAATCTTCCCATCTGTCTTTGCTAAAAGACTTTAATGTTCTAATAACATATTTCTGGTAAATGAACTGCAACCATGAAGAAATTTATCCCAATATCTGTTTGACACAAAACTTCTCAGTTGTCTGGTTATGTGATCCAACATGTGCCAACTCACCAATGCAGAAATAATTTATGCCAGTTATTTAATTGTCAGACCTCTTATAAACAATTCAAATGCATTCTGTAATATCACAGGATTATCTGTGATCTAGAGGGTTCATGAAGTAGAGGAAAACTGAAAAGGAAGATAGGTGAAATGACCCTTACATACCAGAACCAGGAAATAAAAGGAACACTGAATGTGTTGTTGATAGTGGAATTTCTCAAACAATGTTAGCCTGCTTTAAATAAACTATATTCTATTATTTGATGAATTTCACACAGTATCCAGCATTCCTGCGTCACTGTTTCTTAGGACTATTTCTCCAGTAAATAAATGATTCTTGTATTCTCTCTGTCTCTTGTTCATACTAATCTAGAAACTGAATAACTTCATAAAATATAACCTTGATAATGAAACAGGTATTTAAACTTCTCCTGACCATCTTCTATAATAGTAACGTAAGAACAGTGACCAATACAGAGAACCAAATTCTTCCCCTTGTGGATATTAAGTCACCATCAAACTCTTGAATAAGAGACATACTGTTTATACTGTATGAAATTAGGATAGAGGAATTGTTTTTTTCCAAGCCAGGGTACTACTGAAGGAGACAACCTGTAAAGTACATGTGACTAAGCTTTCTCTTGGGTTTGTCTACATTTCCCTCCAAGCTTGTAATTACAGTATGCATGTTTTTTGTTTGTTTATGATTCTACTACAAAAACAAACTGACAAGAGTATGCTTTTGTCAAGGTATGTTATAAATGAGACCCCGATATGAAGTGGGTGTTGGGACAGTGTCAGTACCCACTTTATAAATGAAATTTATATTAATTAACTAAGTTCAGAATCTCTGTTATTGTGTGTACAGTATTTATGCAATGACCAAAATACATATATGAAATTTAAGATACATTTCAGATTGATAAGGCAAAACAGGTGCTCATTGAATTTTGCTCTTCCAAAATAATCTCAAGGTTACAGAAACTCTATGGACTATGGACTCTACCCTCTGTCCCTGCAAGAAATGCTGTAGCAGTCTTATACTATAACTAAAATATTTCACAGAAACATGTATAGCATAAAACATACGTAATCATAATGGGGAAATTATTAAAGCTGTGGTAAGACGAAAGCCTATATGATGGACTGCGAAGGTTGTTGTAGCAATACTGCTCTAGATTTAAATTCAAGAAGTACTGGGTCTGAATCTCAGCCAGGACACCTGACTATCCTGACTGAGTTTTTTATGGTTTTCCTCAGGCCCTACAGGCAAATGCTAAGACAGTACCTCAATAAGGCCATGGCCACTTCTTTCAGATCCTTTCCAATGCATTATTCATGAATCATCCTTCTGTTTGATAGTGTATAATTTGAGATACAGTATCAGAATACAAACAATGAAAGAATGTAATTTCTTACCAAGAAGCCTACATGTAGAATAATACAGCAAAGACACTACAAAGTTTATAGACATCACAGTGCCAATAATATTTGATAAACTTTTAGACTAATAACCAAGAAAAGCAATTCTAAACTCTCTTTCATTACATAACAGCCTCTGAAAGGCTAGTTTGCTGTCATTAAATTTAGAAAATGCTTTCTTTAGAGTAAGGTAAGAAACTAAGGTGTAATAAAATAAAATAAAATAATATTAATATTTCAATACCTTAAAACAAGTATGAGAAGAAACCAAAAGTAAATAAAAGTAAGACATATTTGATGGATCTTAAAAATTTTTTCTCTTCAGAGATAAAATCTGAGGGGATATTATGTTGTCTTGTTTGAAATATTAACATGACATACACAGTAACTTCAATTTGTCTGTACTTACTGCTAAAACAACAGGATGTTTAACACTGAACAGATGAATAAAATGATGTTTCTTGTAGCTTTCTGCTGTTCCACACTTAACATTAGAAGTTAGGCAGAGTTCTGAAAAAGAAAGGGGTATCATAACAGGCACATTATTTGTACAATTCAACAGTTCCTTGGAAGGGGGAAAATTTTTTTTGAATGTACAATAAATTCATTGGATTCCCACAATGCTACCACATGTTGCTCATATTAAACAGCACAACTAAAGGTAGATATCGATCAGAATGTTACTGAACTTATATACAAGTGAATTTAAAATGAAAAGAGAGATGGCCTTTTGTTTGAATTTGTAATCTATCAAATGTTTTCCAGTATTTTACCATGTACTCAAGTCCACCATGGAGCTTTTCAGTTATATCTCTGAATTGTGTCTTTGTTCTTGTTACACCAGAAGTTAAGTGCATTTATTAGTTACCCTCAAATATCATGTAACTGTTTTGAATAAAAGTGTTAGAGAAGTCTGTATTTACATAGTAATATACTGGACATTCAGTACACTGTATTTGCTCACATTTCAAATTCCTGTTTTGCAGTGGTTTGTACAGATTTCTGCACATAGCATTTAGGAGACAGTGGAAGCTTAGTAACACTCTTTTCTTTTTGAAGCCCACTGTAATTGCCTTTTATTCACTTTCATGTGACTGTTACCTCATTCCTTTCCCAGCCCCTTTTGTGGCAATACATGCTAAGTGAACAGTAATATGGAGAGTCAGTTTTATTATATCAGCAGTGATGTTCCCAGTAGAGGAGATATTTCATATATTTAATCAAAGATGCTGTAAAGATCAGCAACAAAAGAATTCCAGTGTGTTTGTTAAATTCAATCTCATAAACTACAGATGTGCAAGCTATGGGATTAGTGCAGTAAAACCTTGTTAATTCATAGCATAAAGGACTAAGAATTATTCTAACTCTATGTTCCCACTACTCATCTTTTGTGCAACTCTGTCTATATATGAATATTCATATTCCTTCATCTATTGTATAACACTACATGTTTTGGCCTAACTGGCCATCATCAGGTGTATAAGATGTTGGGTTGAAAGAACCTGCTGCTTTGCTGTTATGCTCTTCTGCTTTTCATTTTTAAGCAGAACAGTGTACAAGCAGAGCAACATGTAGTTTTATACAATAAAGAGACAAAGACACAAACATTAATATATCAATGAAGTTGCACAGAGACAGCAAGAAGTGGGAACACAAAGTTAGAACACACAGTGCAACAAGATGTTTCAGTATAATATTATGATTAAGAATTAGACCAATTCCATGGAGCTGAATTATTCTTTGAAGCTGATATTAACTCAGCTGAACTCAAGAAATTCTCTGTCTTCTGTGAACCCAGAGGTTTATTCCACCATTAGGCCTCCCCATGAGAACTTTAAAGTAAACGAGTCTGAATTATCAAATTTTCAATGGTAGGTTTTATCTGCTCGGCATTTTAGTTGTGTTACAGTGAACAACATACAAGGCTAGAAAAGGATAACAAACAGGACTGTATCATAACAAAGACAATGATAGAACTGTGTCACATTTGACTGCATCTGAAAAGTCTCTCCTCAAGAGACAAAGTAACTCTGTATTCAGGTTGACTGTTTTCTGGGTTAATGGCACATGTTAGCAGGGGTTCAACTATTCCTTTTATAGTTCTCTTTATTTTCCATTAACACATCTGTTCCACATGACCCTTATTCTGTGAGATGAATTATAAATTAACCATGGTCTGTCACTAGCAGATCTAAAAAATATTTCATATTATATGTTAGCAAAACTTTAATGATTCTTACAGTGTAAACATATGAAAATGTATCTTCCAGGTTGAGGGCACCAATGAATTTCATACTGGTGATACTATGAATTAATAAGACTTTTATTGTAAGTACAGTATTATGAAGAAAACACCTGGCTATCTCAAACATGGAAGATAAATTCTGAACAGTGCTGACATCTCATTTTCTAAGTCTGCCTCAGATGAGATTCTCATCACTTTACACTTCAGATAATTGTTGTGCAATTAAATATTATAATGAATTGCATGAATCAACATACCCATTTCTTTTCTTAAGGAATAAAGTAGGGCATAAGAGATCACATGCTGTCAGTGTGGTCTGTTTCCGTGCTGACCTATTGACACAAAATGGTACGAATGTTATGTCATTGGGAACCATGCTGGTTAATACTGATATGTTGTCTTTTAAGGTTTAACTGCTTGTGCCTCCATTCGTGAAGGCCAGGTCACAGTTTGAGTGGTGTTTATATGGCTGCTATAACAAAGATATAATCAAGTATCACTGTCTTAGACCTCATTTTCATGTCAGGTTGCAGTGCCTAGCAGTTTCCAAGTTATACACCCAGCACCCGATTATTATGGATATTCTGCATGAAGCATTAGGCATTCTTAAGGCATGGAAAAGTCTTGTGCTTTGCTGGTTTCTGGCCATACAGACCTACCCAGCAGAAGAGACTGTCAGCACAGCTGCTAAGGAGGTGGCCTTGCACTGCAACCTGACATGAAAATGAGGTCTAAGACAGTGATACTTGATTATATCTTTGTTATGCTGTTTCCTCTCCCTGGCAAGATGGATGGATCCATACACAGAAAAGAAACTGCAGGTGGTGAAACGACTGGTTCAGGTATGCAATCCTCCTTCAGTTCTGCCAGGAAGGAGACATCATCCTTATGTTCCTTCCGCCTGGTTACACTCGCCCAACATGAATATTTGTTGCACAGTCACTGGCACCTATTTGTATACTATGTCGGGTACCCCTGCGCCATCCTACACATTTTGGTGAACTGCCCACATTATGACAAAGAACATCTTACATCTTCATGGGATGCTGTGCAACATTCTTGGTGATGATCACCACAGCATGTTAAATATTCTGGCACTTGTCAGCAGTATGAGGATTATCAAGAATATTTCACTGGCAGAATTCTGTGGTACAGTCATTAATTTCGTGGACTGTGGTTTTATCACATCATATTACAAGGTATTCACATACACATACACAGATCCACATCGGCCCTCAAAATAGTTGCTCTTGGCCGCTATTCAAGTCTGCCAACGTTGATATGGCTGCTGAAACATTCATTCATTCATCAGTAATCTGTCAGATGACAGGTCCACAGTCTCTTCCAAAACAGTTCCTCCACTTAATGCGATCTTCTGTTTTTGGAAAGAGACTATCCAGGAAAAGTGATAATGTGGTAGTGTTTCCATTTGCTTTCCACATCGCAGTACAGCAGCCGTTCAAACCACTCTGGTCACGCCTGTTGCTATACGAACTTGAACCATCTCGAGCATCATTTGCTCTGTGCTTCAAGTCGCTGCTGATGACGCTGCTTCCGGCATCAGTTTTTGGTGTCTCTCTTCGTCTGATGCCTACCCTTTGACCTGTCCAGCAAGGGAGGCCCTGCCAGTAGCTACGCTACCGCTGGTATAGCTCTCAGGGTCCTTGGCATACTCAAACCCCCTCACCACGATAAGG